TAACAACTACTTGGTTGCACATTAAGCTAATTTACAAATGCTACTTACATTCCAAAAACAAAACATCAGATGAGAAACAATAAAGCATATTATGTTTTCGCATGCTGGTGAATCACACGTAGTAAATCGCCAAAGAGAAGAATGATTCATGCTCCAATCCTGCCAAGACTTTAATCAATATAGGGTGTCACATCTCAGAGGGTTGGGGGAGGTAGCGAGGCAAAAAGAGGGTGGCTAATATTTGTCTCAGTAATTTTCATGCAACTTCAGTGAAATGTAACAGATTAAACAAAAAAAAATGGTATATTTGGACTAATAAAATGAAGATTTAAAAATTCTGTATCAAATGTGATACAAAAAAATTTGCATAAGAAAACTCTGGGTGGAAAAAAGCCTGCCATGTAGTTTATTCTATATAATATTTGAAGCTACACAAAATAAAATATCACATGTACGAATCAATTTCTTGCCTCAGAGCATTAACTAATAAACTGTGGAGTTCAGAAAGTAAAGCTTCTTCATAACCATGCACACTTTTGAGATTGACTATGGTATTATTGGAGACTAACTCCAAGAAAAAAAAAATTTGAAAGATATTATCCAAATAACTCAAGAATTTATATCCTACAATACGATTTGAATGAACAAGGTAAACCTTAGGTTAGAATATTCTTGCATTTTGTTCATATACTAATTATTAAAGTATAATTTGCTAAACTTTTAAAGTATACGAAAATAAGTTGTTGAACCACACAAACTTTCGTATTTTATGCCTTAGTCTTCTAATTATGCCCTATTCTTTTTGAAATGTTATAAAATGAGACATTTAGGCTTTATAGACACCATTAATCTACTGTAATACAAAAACTTCAAAAGCAGAGTGTCTCTTCATTTGAAGTAATTCTTGAATTTCTCTGTGTCAAGTATCATAATTATCTGTTAGAAGTGAATCTGTATTTATTTTGAAACTTTCTATATCGATGTATAAATCCGTGCCATTGAAAAGCAAGCAACAGGGGAAATGTTAAATAAATACAGGCTCTCGGCTTGCCATCTTTATTAAAATTCCAGACAAAAAAATAGAGCCAAGAATTGAAAAATATTTTGTACTTCTTATAATAAATTTTCATGGACTTATTACTACTGAAACATAAAAGGCTTAGAAAGCCTTTCAATTTTCTGTCCATGGATGGTATCGACTTTTAAGACAAAAGAATACTGTTTGTGAAATATACGTATGTGCCTATAAAATGTCTGATAAAACTAACTGGAACCTACTCAGGTTAAAAACTTCTCAAATCTAGGGCTTCATAGAACCTAAATCACAATCTGGTTTGAAAGAGCTTGAGTAAAAATCATCTTCTGACAATAATTAAAGAAATAAGCATTTTAGATAACATAAAAGAGCAGGGTCACTTTTTATTTTTACCTGAATTTACAGAAAATTGAACCCTAACCCAAATCTATAAATAAGCAATTGACTCATACAGAGACTTGACCACGTACATAATTACTTTTCTTTTTTTGTTGTTGTTATTTAATGGTAAACAGTTAATTAACTGACCTCTGTTGTAACAGCCAAGTTCATGCAACTAATGTTTAGTTTTAAAAAAATAATTGGAGGAAGCTTATCAAGGTCAGACTTTGCCCTTTGACAACTTTTAAATATATTTCCTTATATTTTCTTTCATATTTTGAGACCTTTTTTTTTAGCTTTACTGTCTAGCAGGTGATAGTCTCTTTTTCATCTCCTTGTGGTAATGACAGATGGCTTCAACATTTATTCTAGTTTTCACAGATAGCCTACTAAGGCAATAGCCCCAAGCAAATTAAATCCACTCTAAGGTTTGCTACTAAACTTACTCAGCCACTTTGAGCAAGTTGATGAACCTTTCTTTTCTTTAGCATCATTTTGGTTCCTCAGATTCCCTGATATCTAAATGCTTAAGAGACAGACATATGCTCTGTAAGAAGCTGAGAATTCTTAGATTTGATGTTTCTCTCACACACACATTATACATATGAGAGACATACATATACACATAATTTTATATAGTTTGCCTTCTTTCAAGTTTCTCTTATACTCTATATAAATTATCCCCTTCGTCTGTTAAGTAGCTAGAGGAGAAAAAAACCAAAGTGAAAGAAATCAGTATGTCTAGGTAAATGAAAAAGAATCTTAATAGCAAAGGCACAAACTGGACTTGAATGAAAAAAGTTATGTTAGTTTTGTAAATTTAAGATGCAAAACATTTTAGGTTAGTGCTTTGAAAGTTAAGAAATAAGATAACTCTTGTAATAATCATTAAAAATAATAATATGTCACAATGCAAACATTATATTTTGGTAAGAAGGAGTTCAATGATAAGTTTTCTATTTCCTTGATCAGTCGCAGAGTTTAGAAAATCATAGGCAGCTATCTGCAACTAAACATCTTCTCAAGTTAATCACTACAATATTTGCATGTATTTAACTTTGAACAAGCATTTTCATTGATCTAAGATCAAAATCCACAAAGTTCCCACATTTAACTTAAAATAGCTTGAAATAGGGTTTTACAATAACACATTTAATTGCAAAATATTGAGGCCAGGTGATTAAAACATAATTAGAGTAGTGATGAGACATTTTTGAAGGGATAAACAGTTCCACTGGATTTAACTTATCTTGGCTCTGCAAGTTTAAACTCCAGAGCTGCTGGTAACCTTCAGGGGAAAAAAACTTTTTTAAAAATGCAGTTAATAACTTTAAGAATATTCTCCAACCTATGGTGAGGATTTCAATTCAAAGTCCAGGTAAAAATTCAGGGGAAAAAAAGCAAGTTTTACACTGATTATAACATTCATTATAATGTAGTCATTGAGGAGAGTTTTCTCAAGCAATTTTGTGTGCGTGTGAGAGAGAGAGAAAGAGAGAATTGGACACTGATTATCTACTACAATGTGTGGTGCAAGAAACACACAAAGAGGATTCAGAGGAGAGTGAATGTTTGATTGCTAAAGAGAAAAACAGTAGCGTTTCACGTGCACAATTTATCGGATAGACAATTTTATAGCAATCATATCTGAACTGGCTTCAAATTTCACCTAGCATTCTTCATAACTCTGGAGCAATTTTCTGCCCTAATAGTTCAAATAGTTTTAACGAGATTTGGGGCAAATATTTTATATTCTAGGAGACCAAGATCTCCAATTATCCGATTAAATGACATCTAGCGATCTTGTTCCACGCCCCCCCCCAATCTTTACTGCCACCTGTCTATACACTTGGACACGCGAGCGCGCGCACACACTCTCACACACACACACCTTCTCTCTCTCTCAGCATTTATCCAAAAATAGTCAACATGAATGTTCTAAACCAAGACACACACCCATTCCCCCACGTAAAGAATGGCAAATAAACACGGAAGAGAATTTCTGGCTAGGTCAGAATAGCACATTTGCTGGGCTGGAGTTTGAATCCTTCTCGTTTTACAGCCCTCCTAGGCACTAGCGAGGAGTCTGTCTCCAGGGAAGAAACAGCTAATGCTTTTTCACCCAATTTCTTTCTGGTCTCGTCCTACACCTCTTTCTTTCCCACCTCAGTTTCCCTAACTTCTGCCCGGGCGCACGCCAGCTCCGTTCTCCGTTCCTTTTCCCAGTCTTTAAACTTATTTAGAGGGTACCGAAGTTTCCGCGCAAATTTTGAGCGCAGTTCCCACGTGCCCGCTTCGGGTCTTCAACTTTCCCTATTCTCTTTCTCCCGGCATCTCTGTCTGAACTTTTCCCTGCAGCGAACGGTGGGGACAAAGCGGAACTGTGAAAGGGGGTGGGGGCTTGGAATGATCGTCTCTACCCCGAAACTGACAAGTTGCCCCACTCCCGCCCCCTCTCGGTAGATCCTCCCCCACCGAGCGTTCATTAGCATAAAACTGGTCTGGCCGCGGACCGGTCCGAGGCCTCCCGGTGCGCGCGCTTTGTTGGGCAGGGGAAGTCAAGGCACAGAGTACTCGGGCGCAGAGCATCCCAGAGCAAAGCGTGCACCTGCTCGTTGCGTGAGCTACTAACAAAAAGAAAGAAAGAAAAAGAAAGACTTTGGAAAGAACGAGATAGAGCGAGTGCTGTGGTCTGCCTTCCCAATCTCTCCGGGCTTTCAAAAGTCTCAGGCACCCAGTCACCTCCCCCTACAGAAGAAAACCTGCTGGTGCCCTCACATCTGCCCGGGGCAAACGTATCCATTTCTTTCCTTTGCACACACGCGCGCACACACACGCTCACACGCGGACACACGCACACATGCGCGAACACACAGACCCCTCCCCTTGGCAGGCTTCCCCTTGGGGCTTCGGAGCTGAACTCCCTGCTGGTCCCCCGGGATTGCCCCAGGCTTCTCAGCCTCGGGGGTTGTTCCCCTCCCGACCTCAAAGTGAACCCCTCGGTTGCTGACCCCACTCCCTCGGCTATTTAGCCGGCCCCTCACCCGGAGCGCGTCTCCCCGCTCCCCGAACCCGGCAGGGCAGGTCACGACCTCCCGCAGCCCCTGGGGCGCCGCTCGGCGCCGCCAACCAGCCCCACGGGTGCCGGGAGGCTTGAGGTGGAACCCAGGTCATGGGGAGCCCACAAACACCGACAGTAGTGCCGGCGGGGGGGGTCCCCAGACTCCGGCGCGCCCGGGGAAGGGGGCTGTGGCTCCTGGAAAGGCGCCGTCCTCCTCCTTCCCGCCCCCTCCGCCCCGAGGCTCGAGGTTCCAGCGTCCCACAGCAGCCAAGCCCCGGTGCCCAGGCGAGCAAGGGGCGGACCGGGCCGGGAGAGCAAGAGCCGGGCTGAGTGAGGTGCCAACTTCTCAGGGGGTCGGGCGCGGCTGGCGAGCCCCGAGGAAGGAGAGGAGAGGGCCGCGCTCGCTGAGGCGCGCGGCTCGAGGGCGCGCGGAGCGAGCGGCGCCGGGAAGGGAGCGAGCGAAGGGCGAAAAGGCGGGTGGGAAGGGGCCGCGGGCCGCAGAGGCTACGCCGCGCTATTTACCTTGCGTTGGTGCAGTCATTGTAGAGGGTCTCGAAGTCCTTTCTGGAGATGAGTTTGCAGCGGTTCACTCCGGGCTGGATGGCGCCCAGTCCCCTCAGGATGCGAACCTGTTCCACATTGCACACCACCGGCGTGATCTCCAGCCGCTTCAGCTTGGTGTAGACCGTGTGCAAGCCCCCCACCAAGTGCTTCAGGAACAGGTCGAAAGCCTGGGGCAGGCAGATCAGCTCGCAGCCCTCCACCGTGAAGGAAGCTACTTTGGCCCCCCTCAGATCCACCATTTTGCACTCATTATTCTGGGGGGTGTTTTCCACTGGGGACGGGGTTGAGTACACGGGTTTCCCGGGGAGGGGGCCGCAGCTGCTGCTGCTACTGCTGCTGCTGCTACTGCTGCTGCTGCTGCTGCTGCTACTGCTGCTGCTGCTGCTGTTGCTGCCGGTGCTCGCGTTGATGGGGGTGCTGGAGGCGCCGCCGCCGCCAGCGCCAATGCTGCCGCCGCCGCTGCCGCCGCTGCCGTTGCCCGCGGCCGCCAGGCTGGGGTTGCAGTTGCTGCCGCCGCCGCCACCGCCGCCTCCGTTGCCGCCGCTGCCGCCGCCGCCTCCGCTGCCGCCGCCGCCGCCGCCGCCGGTAGAGGTGACTGTGGCCGCCGCCGCCGCCGCCGAAGCGATGGGCTCCGGCCGGAACAGAGTTGGCCCGGAGGACGCCGGGGGTCCGATGGACGGAGCCGGAGACGAAGTCGCCGAGGAGGTGGAGGTGGTGGTGCCAGAGGAGGAAGCAGACGTGGAGATCGGGGGTTGAGGGGGGACCAGCTGGGTCGGAGGGATCAAAGCCGCCGGCACTGCCATGGTCACATATAAGGGGAAACAGAAGGAGGAGAAGCGAGGGGAAAAGTTGCCACACGCCCCCGGGAGGGGAAGGGGGAAACAGGGGGGAGCAGGAGCGAGGAGGGCAACAACAACAACAACTCCGGGAGAGAACGAGAAGGAGAAAGAGAGAGAAGGGGGAAAGGAGGTGAAGGTAATAAAGAGCGAGCGCAGGAGGGGCGAGCGTGAGAGGCGCTCTGGAGAGAAACGCACAAAAGTGTCCCGCAAGTCGAAATGCGAGTCCTCTCCGGGGGCTGGGATCGAGGGCTGGATCGGAGGGGGGCGGGGGCGGGGAGGGTCGGCTGTTGTGTGGGTCCCGCTCTAGCACAAAGTTAAGGATGAAGGTGAAAAGGAGGAGGTTTGAAGGACTTGGGTTCTCCCTGGCAAGTACATTGATCAAAGATTGAGAGGGGAATGACAGAGAGAAAATGAGCTGAAAAGTGCAGGCTGCCGGCTGGACGAGTTGTTGTTGTCACACGGTGCAGAGGGGAGGAGCTCCGGAAACTTGAAATACCCTTTGAAGCCGCAAAAACCTCACTCACTAGTATTAACCCAAATTATCCAACCAGGAACTCGGAGCAGAGACTCCGAGAGCGGGAGACACAGAAGGAGAGAGCGTGCGAGGAAAGGAGGAGGGGAGGGGGAGGATACGGAAAGCAACTGTGGGAGGGACGGCGAGGAAAAGCCGGGGACACCGAAGTGGCGATCGGAAAAGGAGAGAGAGATCATCTACTTCTTTCCTGCTACTACCGTTAGATTGCATGTCTAATATTCCATCTCGTCCGCGACCGGCTCGTAATTTTTCCAAAAGCTTCTAAACAATCGTCTGCCAACTTAGAGTGCTCCGAGCTCTCCTTCAAGGATTTAGGATTTAGCTCCATGCGTTTTTGCAATGAGATATAAATGAAAACACATTCCCACTTCATGATTATTAAGAAATTATTTCGAAGAAAAAAAATCAACATGTAAGCGAAGCGTAATGCTTTTATGCATCTGGTTGTTTTCTTTTTCTATTAAATTATTTATGTGTATAAGGATAGTGAAAATTCCAGGACAGTTTTCAAGTTCTGGGAAGAAAGTCAGTCCGAAATCGCTTAAGAATAATGGAATGCTCTGTATTCAATTTCTTGTTTCCTAATAGATTGTGGAAAGAAATGCTTGCCATAATGTGGATGGGTTGGAATAACTTCACTATCACCCCAAAGACAAGTCAGAAATGCCTGTTACACATAGAGAATTCAAAGAGATAAGGCACCCTTGAAGATTTAGAAAGTGCAAAACAAGAAGACACTGATTTTTCTTACCCAAAACTCTATAATTAATTCACCTGTCTTGCACAGTAACCAACTACCCTCATATCCTTTAAGACCCAAGGCTAGTTGCTAATGTGTTTTTTGAATAACACAATAGTTAATTTTTTCATATTTGAAAAGTACCACTGTATTTTTGGAAAGTCCTTTTCAATTTGTAAGTGAAAATATGTTTTGTAAATAACGAGAAGAACAAACACAAAGCTCACTAGTTGACTTGTAAAGGCAAAATGGGTAGGTGTGCTTAAAACAACATTGGGCTTAGTTTAGACTGACTCTTCCTCCTTTCCTTCCTCTTTCTTTTTCTTCCCTTTTATAACTTGTTGCATGAAGGTATTTATTCAAAGATTTTTGACCAACATATGATTTGAACATAGGTCAAGTTTGTTTGCTGCTTATATCTCTAAGAATCTTAATTTAGTTGGGCTTTGAACCTGTCTACACATGTTCAGTAACTTCACAAGATATGAAGCAATGTTTTAGCATTTGACAGATTTTAAAAATAAACTATTAGTAGGAGCTTCACATTGTTGCGAAATTTCCTAATGAAATTTTTGCCATTTTGGTGTTGAAATCATTATCACATTTCTCTTTGTCATTTTAATCCTTTGAACTCTTTTAAGTGTAGTGTCAAAAGGTGCAGGAACTACTATCTACAGTAAAATGCGACACTGTTAACTAATTAGACTAAGTTTATGCTAAACTTTTTGACACAGCAATAATACCAGGAAGCTTTCCTGGGTTACAAGAATTCAGAAAATTGATTGTTGCAGAAAAGTTGACAAACTTCTGTAAGAATAGATAAAGTTTACACAGTGGTTTGGCCTTGTTAGTCAATGTATTTTAATATATTCAGAAATAATTTTTATTAATGTGTTAGCCCTCAAATCTGTCCTCAATTAAAAGTAGCGATTCAACATATATCACATACATTGATACACTTCTTGAAGTGTTTATGCATATTTTAGAAAATATGACCTTTTTTAAAAATGCCAAGTTACTATGTCAATGAGGGGAGGGGAGGAAGAAAGTATTAAACCCTGGAAAGCTAATTTTATTTTGGAATTGTATGCCTAACTTTAATAAATTTCGATATAGTTTTAAAACGTTAAACTGCAGCTTCCTCATTCTAAGTTCTAGACCCACAAATGGAAAACAATGAGAATTAAAAGCTGAGCATCTGCCCTTACCATTCTCATTTCTAACATTTCCTTAAACTATCCCTCACTCAATACCTGCCACAATTGGAAGCCACAGACAAGAAGTAATGATAGCAGATCAAGTCATAATCCCACCCTGCGTCGAAGCAAACTCCAAATTTTCTACTGCAGGGAAACCGGTGCCTGCAAACACGTGGTCTACTCAGAAGCAGAGCTTGGGGGCATTTGCCCCCAACTGAATGAGATCTTTCCCCGACCTCAGGTTTCTAAATCGTTTCAAGGAACCACCACTTACCCGTTTGATCAAACAATAGGATTAGAAAAGGCGCATAGCACAAATTAAAATATGTAGAAAAGAAAAGCCTTGAAAAATTTTAAGGTTTCTTTCTTTTTTTCCTTCTCTCTTTCCTTATTTTCTTTTTCTGAGAAATGTTGCCAATGATTAAGGCAAACAGTATTTAACAACAGCAGATAAATCAACTTGAGATTTCAAATTCTCACTCCATTGAATCTTTAGCTCTCAGAGCTTTTGTCTTGCTTGTTTATTGTTTTACATCTCTGCTTGTTTCAGGTCCTTTCCCTCCATCTCATCTTCTCCAATCTTCACTCAATTTGCATAAGCAAAACTCAAAGTACTGTAACTGATATTAGAAAATTCTCCCTGTGTTTTGTGAAGACGTATTGTGCTGAAATCAATAAGACTGTTTAAAATTCAAAGACCTGCAAATCGTTCTGTTTGTCCTTTGATAGGGCCTGTGCTGATTAAAATGCTACCAAGAAAGCTTAATTGCTGCACTAATTAAGAAGTCTTTAATTTCTTTCCTAGGATATCGTTTGAAGCTTAGCTTGTACCAGTTCAGGGAAGGTATTTTCTTCCCTCCCTCTGCCCCCTTCTGGCCCCTCCCCTCCCTTCCCCCTCCCCCCCCTCCCCGCAACGAGATCTGAACGAATGGGAACTAATAGAGAGAGTGGTCTCAGGTCTCACCATCTATTACTTAACAAAAATCAGCACAGGATACAGAGTTCAATGCAGTATGAAATGCAGTTTTGAGAAGAGCTGTAAGGTTGCGGGAGACTGTAAGAAAATACAAAGTAGCTGTTCCAGCTAAAGTCCCGGTGAATACCTGGATGACAACAGGCACTTTAGTCCGATGATGAGGGCATCCTATTTGGTTAAAAGGGGCAGTGACAAGGAAATGAAACAGGGACACATAAAAACACACTTTCAAAACCTGTGGTTTAAAGAAGAATAAATCTGTAGAAAGATGGACTTATAGTTGGGATTTGGTAAGTATCATTTTATTTTATGAGTATGAAAACATGAATTCTATGGGGATTTATTTTTGACCCTTTTTATAACCCAGGGAAGCATAGCACTGTATTACATCCATTCCATTCTTATCTATTGACCTATTTTATTCACTGATTTCTCAAGTGGGGAAACTGACTAAATGATTGCACAAAGCTTTCTCTTTAATCAATAGTCATTTTTTAGGTTTATTCATGCTGCATTATAATTCTGGTAAACGACTGCAAAGCAGAAGATTGTAAGAAAGATACAAATATTGACAAATCCAAGATAAGTCATGTCTTTAAATCTTCAGAGTTTCAGTACAGCAATTGATATAATTATTTGGAAAAAAAAGAAAATGCACATTTCAGAGCATATAAAAAATTAAAGTAATTGAGTAACTTAAAGTCAAGGTATATTTTAATGTATTTCTTGAATATCTCAAATTTTCCTAAAAGCTTTGTGTATCCTCTTTTTATAGCATCACTGAATGAAATAGAAATAATTTGACAGATGCAGGAAGGGCAAAAAAAAAAAATTCATTACAATTTTATTATTTTAATTTTTCCCAAGTTGTCTTAGAAGCATGCACAAAAAAATACAGATGTAAACTCCAGATATAGACTGAATTCCTTTCAGTGACAAGACAAGGAGATAAAATGCCTAATAGATTCAAAGGGAGATTTACCATTCAGAGCACGACGTCACTCTAATTATGTTTACTCTAATTGAAAGCAAGGTTTTTTGGAATCTGAAATTACTTTCAGAATTTTTTTTAAAATAATGCAAGTAGATCAAATGTTGATCACAAGCATTTCAATCTTTCAAAATGTATTGGAAAATTAAATGAAAAGTGGAGTTTGGTACAAACAATGCCCCAGGGCAAAAAACAACTAACACTAGATTTTCCAGTCCAGCCATAACACAAATCAATTTGAGCACACTTCTATGGCCAGACTGCCAGATTGTTATGACTGCTAATTCACTCAATCAAAGAGTGCATTAGCACACCCGGCACAAATAGCTTTAACAATGGAGTGCATTTCTCAACAATTCCAAGATATATCACAATGGAGAAGTAAAGAGGAAGATCATTTTTACATCTACATATTTACTAATGGGCCTGTTTTCTTAATAGAAAAAAAAAGACTGAGATAAACTTCAGGCATAGGTTTATTAAAGAGCCATCAAAATTTGGCAAATCTAGAAAGATATTAGGGTACCAGTAGTTCAATGACTTTGTTAAACGTTTCTCAGGAGAGAGTCCAAAATTGATGTTTGCATTTCAGTAGTAAATCATTGAAGATCGAGAAATTATGCCAAGTAACTCTCTCAAGCCTTTTTAACTCGGATGCACAGCCTCCCCAATCAGCGCAGCAGATAAACCTCCACTACCTTAAGCAAATACTTCCCTACTTGTACACTTTGTCTCTGCTCTCTCCACTTTTCTTTCCAACTTCAGACTTTGGTGGTTCTCACTTCCATAGTCTCCTTCTTTCTTTCAACCCCTTGACTCTTCTCATGAACAACAAGTAAGGCTTTTATCTCACTGATGCCTTCTCTAATCAAGCGCAAGAGAGCTTGGTGATGAATTACCCGAAGGACAGAAGGTTGGGAGCTGAAGGTGAACACACCATAACTTG